GATAGATAGATAGATAGATAGATAGATAGATAGATAGATAGATAGATAGATAGATAGATAGATAGATAGATAGATAGATAAAATCTATTTTTATGAGGACTGGGTAAAGAGATTTGGTACAGTACAGAGGCAGATTCCTAACATTAGCTAGCCTTGCTAACATCACTTACACATTGCTTACTCTTCAAGATTCAAGATTCAAATTCAAGATTCAAAGTGCTTATTGTCATATGCACAGATGAAAACATGTTTTCCCTGAGCAATGAAATTCTTACTTTGTCGTCCGTTTTGAATGCAGGGAGCACTCTTTGTGCTCCTGTCCCCACAGTCTCTGAAAGTGAATCACTGCAGAATTTACAAGTTGCTATATGCTACTGACTTTATCTTGCTGTAATACTAATAGTGTTGGAATATTCCATTCTTTTTTTCCATAGACATAATACTTATGAATTACCATTCTGATGCACTTCTCAGTAACGTCAGTGGCCTTTTCTACCTGAAGCACTGATTGGATTTTTGTGTTTGCCTGCATTGAAAAAGACTTTCTCAAAACGTTGTGACAGTGGTTTATGAGCAGAGTTTTACAGGCTAAATCCACCCTGCTTTTACAGCCGACAATATTTATCAGCTTCAACACAAGCCCTCACYTTTATGGCCAACTGTGACCTTTGCCTCTTTCACCACATACGATTTCCTCAGCTTCTGCTTAGAAATAGTTCCCAGAACAAATTATACCATTAGCAAAAGGCTAAATCCAAGTTGTACATATTCAGATATGCACAGGAATATTTGTTATTCACTTATGACTAATTATCAAAATTTGTGCCGTTTTTGAATCAGTATCTTGCAAATCTGCTGCTTTTTAATTCTCACACACATAAACACTTTTACAGAAACAGGGGTGATGAGATAAAATCATGAAACTATTAATGCATTAAAATGGACCTAAATGTTAGGAAGTTTTTTTTAGATAATGTGTCTGTTCAGACATGTGGGAGGTTTTTGTTCCTATCGCCTGAGTCCTGCTCTCATTTGACAGTTGTTCATTAACCCATCGAAGACAGGTAGTGCAGTCTGTATCGAGGTGGACAAGAACTGGTGTTAAGCTGTAGATAAAACAGCAACAAGCTTTATAACAGCACTTTTTAAAAGTTTTTATATTCTTTTTGTATTTGCAACGTGTTTCAAGGTAAGATTTTAAATAAAAAGCTTGTTTTGTCTTATTTGGATGCTGGACGGTAAATCAAGGGAACTTCTACTTCGTCACCCAGGAGCTCTGATCTCTTCTGCTTTTGRACGTTTGCCGTCAATGAAGAGGATTTGTTCTGTAGGGCAAATATAAAAACTGCTTCCTCCCATCTATTTATCTAAACCTTCATTTTTATTGACATGTAGCAAGAGGAGAAAGCTGTTTTCAGAGGTCTAAATGGAAATGTCCAGGATGCACACTTGGCACAGTTTACTCTACCTGGGCGTAATGCTGATGGTGGTGTTGGGCAACAAAATGCTGGACGAATGTTTGAAATTTAACCGTAAGTTCACCATGAACGTTGTGCTGCTGGAAGACAACACCTTTGAATGGAGTCGACCATTTGTGGAGAGTGCTGTGAGGCAAGCCATTGAAAAGGACACCCAGGAAAACAACAAAAACGGTATGAAACATGGCTGGATGGGCCTCACACGTAACACCAACTAATGGGTAAATCAAAATGACAGTTCAAAAACACAATAATGACTCAAAAACATAAAAATTTCAAGTCATTAAAAGAAACATAGAGCCTGAGAACCAGTTCAGGAACCAAAGCTAATAACTGTAAAAAGATAAGATCAAATTCAGCAGAATTGTCATAAAGAGAGGTGATTTCAAAAGCTGGAGTCAGGGCAATGAAACATGAACAGAATGGAGTCTGAAGATGACCTCTAACCTTTTAGAACATTAAAGAAATAAAAATAGGACTATGTATGGATAATATATTTTAGAATCACGTGACATGACTCTATAACTTTGCCTTGGCCACTTTATCACTGCAATTTAAACCGCACAACTCTGACTATATTGGTTTTCTGGTCATTTTTATCACTGGATCTAATTGCACTACTTCAATTGCATTACTGTATTGAACTGGTGTACATATGTTTTATATATATTTTTATTTTTTTTCCTTTATCCTTGGTATTTTCTTTATTTGTTACATTTTATATTGCACCTTTGCACCAAAGCAAATTCCTAGTCTGAGAATCCTGTTCTGATTCTGATTCTAATATTTGTAGTAGATGTCAGAGCTCTTTGATTTGTTATAATACTTGTATTTAATGACTAAATGATGATGTTTGTAGACTTCATTTAGTGACAGTCGAGGTGTCATGTTTGGGTTAAAAGCTAAAATGGGAAACACAGTTGTACACAATATTTCTGATCACATCCTGATAACAGATCAAGTTAGTCTTTCCACTGCTCTGAAGCCCTGATGATGCTGGCATCCTTGTACCTCTAATAAGCTCTGTAAACTTAAACACAATATTCCAAAGCAGACTTTTTCTGCCATCATGCTAAATGTTTTTTGTCCTTCTCAATCTGTTGAGATATCATCATCTCTGTTATATTGTAGGACTTTGTCTGGATCAAATTATTGTTCTAATCAAATTTATATTATGACAGTTTTTAATGATTACCACTAGCCAAGGAAGCATACATGTCAAGTTGCATGGATTCTTCAAAGTCAAAGTCAAAGTCAGCTTTATTGTCAATTTCTTCGTATGTTCCAAACATGCAAAGCAATCGAAATTACGTTTCCCACCATCCCATGGTGAAGACAAGAAACTTGTAGTAGACATAGACATTTAAATAGACATAATAAAACTTGACATAGTTTTAATTTTAAAACTATGTCAAATTTCACCCCCATTTTGCAGGTATACGAACAGTATTGTATATGAACATGCTCAAATCTCACAGATTTTTTCAAATCTCATGGATTTTTTTTCAAAAACTCACCTTCAAATTAATGTCTCATTGCCTGTAGGACGTAAAAAAAACAAAACAAAACAATAAAAACAAATAACGTTAAATTACCATCATCCAACCCGTTCTGCTACTAGAAACAAGTCAAAATAAGTTCTCCTCTCCCCATCACCTCTGCCAGCTCCTCTGCGCTGCAGGCACTGTTATTGTGGCCTCACATTCTGCCTTTCCCCAAGGCCAACAATCCACTTTTAATCCCCTCCTGTGAGTGACACAGATTCTTTTGTGAAAATTACTGATATTTCAGGATAAAGATTCAGTTAAATGTCCAAAGGGGTTGACATGTATGAGGAAGGGGTACTCATTTTCAAAGTTGGAGGAAGTGGAACTCTTCTTGTTGGAGTCTGTTAAACTTTTGGGTGTCTATCTAGACAAGAAGCTTAATTAGAAAAGACATGTAAATGAAAAGTGTAATAAGGCAGCAATGCGCCCACACCAGTACCGTAGAATTGTGGGTAGTCCTTGGGGTGCTACCCCAAAGGTTATCAGATGGATCTACACGGCCATAGTCCGCCCCATGCTATACTATGCTGCTTTAGTTTGGTGGGTTTGAGTCCAAGTTGAGGTGGCAAGAGTGATGCTCACCCATGTGCAACGAATGGCCTGCCTGGGCATCACAAGTTCTATCAGAACAACATCCACGACAGCCATGGAAGTCCTACTGGACCTGGCTCCACTAGATTTACATATCTTAGGGGAGACTGCATCCAGTGAAGTAAAGTTACACCAGCCTGGTAGGTGGAAAAACCTATCTGACTCATGGCAAACAAGAATCTGGGACTGGGCAGGTGCTGCTGTTCCATTAACTGCAGGACCTGGAGACAGAAAATATTTACATAACTTTAAGCCAAATTTTAAGACAAGAGATGTCTGCCTGGAACAACCTCTCTATTGATGGACATGTCTCCCAATCATTTCTACAGTTTGACAGATGGATCCCTTCTGAAGGGGTCAGTAGGTACAGGGGTGCTGATTTTGCACAAACCATAGTGGCTATGTTTACATGCGCAAAATTCTTTGATCGGATTGAAAAGTATTCGGATTAAATAATCGGAATGTATCGTTAACATGGGCACAGTCCGATCATGACGAGTGTTTACATGCACCAGGCTTGTATTCAGAATAGAAGCACTGACATGAGCATTTGCTAACTTTCCCTAAAAAACCCCCACAGAAAATAGTTCTACTTTCGTCATGAACATAAACAAACTGAGTGCTCAGAATGGACCTGCGACAGGTTTTAATAATGGTGGAGACRTTACTGCACTCCCTGGCCTGGGTGAGATGCAGGTGACGCGGACATTTTTTATTTTTATTTTTTTGCGAAACAGTGCAGGCTGTGTGTCTTCCTCCTTTATTGAATGAGAAAACGTGAGGAAAAGTTCTGTGCTGCTGAAAACTACAGCGCTACTGTCCCTCCCTCCACAAAACAGCAGAAACTGGTGGATGAAAGTCAGCAGACATGCACAGTCAGGTCAGTTTTCCACAATCAGAATAAGATGATCAGATTGTTTACATGCACGCTGTTCGGATTATCAATTGGCATAAACCACCTCTCTCATTCTGATTACAAATTCATTCGGATCGAGCTGAATCGGGTCAGAATAATCCGAATGGGGTGTTTACACGACGTGTTTTTATTCCGAATGGCCATTTAATCCAATTACTTATGTCCATGTAAATGTAGCTACAGAGAGATATGACCCACTAGGTTGATTGGCAACTGTATCTCAAGTTGTTTTGCAACTGTATCTCAAGCTGAGATATATGCAATCCACCAGTGTGTGGTATCTCTCAAAGACGTTCATTGTACACAGAAAGAAGTACTCACATAACAAATAGCCAAGCTGCTATTAAAGTTCTCTGAGGGCCACACTTCACGTCATTACTGGAGTGGGAGTGTGGCGAAGCAGTCAACCAACTGGGGAGAGATAACAGTGTTACTGTTAAATGGGTACCAGGACATACTGGCATTAATTGTAACAAGAGAGCTGACTACCTTGCAAAAGCTTGCAGTCAGGCTCACTTCAAAGGACCAGTGCCTGTTGTAGGTATCTCAACAACAGTCTGTTGGACTGCCCTACAGGCCTGGATTAGATGTCAACACTTAATCCGCTGGAGGGAGCYGACGGACTGTAGACAGGCACGGGAACTGATTAACAAACCAAATCTAAGGTTTGGGAAAGCTCTCATCTCCCTGATAAGGAAAAGTTTAGGTACACTGGTTGGAGTCCTAACTCGGCACAACCAGCTCAACCACCACAAAATAGTCATGGGACTCCATGACAACGGTCTGTGTGATGCCTGAATTAAGCCCAGTCTCCATTGTCAAGTCTCACTCTGTTCGGTTCACATCTGTTTGATTATGCTTAGGTATGTGTGTCTCCATACCAGTGTGTTCCTCACTCTGTGGGCGTGAATGTGGGTGGATTGTCAGCATCATAATCATAATCATAATACTTTATTGATCCCTGACGGAAATTACAGGTATTACAGCTGCAACAGTTCAGATCAGAGAAATGTGAAAAAAAAAAGAAGTAAGCCCACTAGAATAAAATAAGTATCAACACTCAGGATTACAAAATAAATGCACACGTGTACACATAAACAATGTATAATAAAAATAATAGAAATATTAAGAAAATGTGTACAGCATGAACGAGAGATGATGTTTGGTATATTGCACATTTGGTGAGTGTCATGGGTAAAATACAGTAAATTAAATATCAAATAAAGACTAAAAGTAAGAAAATATACTGATGTATCAATGTGAATGTAAATTTACAGATGATCTAGTTTCACATGTTTAGGAAGGAGTAATAGAGTTTGATGGCCACTGGTAGAAATGACCTCCTGTGGCGCTCAGTGGTGCATTTTGGTGGAATGAGTCTTTCGCTGAATGTACTTCTGTGCTCATTACTGTGTTGTAGAGAGGATGGTAAACATTGTCCATGATTCCCTACAGCTTTGCCAGCATCCTCCTCTCTGACACTGCTGTCAGGGAGTCCAGCTTTACTCCCACATCACCAGCTTTACAAATCAGTTTGTTGAGTTTGTTGGCATCTGCCACCCTCAGTTTGCTCTCCCAGCATGCAACAGCATAGAGAATGGCACTCGTCACCACAGACTCATAAAAAGTCCTGAGCATCATCTGGGAGATGTTAAAGGACCTCAGACGTCTCAGGAAGTAGAGACGACTTTCCTTTTCCTGTAGGCAACATCTGTGTTTTTGACCCAGTCCAGTTTATTGTCAATGTGTACCCCCAGGCATTTATAATCCTCCACTGTGTCTACGCTGACCCCTCTGATGGACACACAGGGGTCACAGGTGTCTTGTTCCTCCTTAGATCCACCACCAGTTCTTTTGTCTTGCCACATTGAGCTGTAGGTGGTTCAGCTCACACCAGGAATCAAAATCCTTCACTGTTGTCCTGTACTTGTCCTCATCACTGCTGCTGATACATCCAACTATTGCTGAGTCGTCGAAAAACTTATGAAGGTGGCAGGTCTCTGTGCAGTAGTTGGTCTGTGGTGTAGAGTGTGAAGAGGAATGAAGAGAGGACAGTTCCTTGTGGGGCTCCAGTGTTACTGACCAGGCTTTCAGACACACGGTTCTGTAGTCGTACATACTGTGGTCTGCCAGTCAGGTAGTCCAGGATCAAGGACACGAGGGGGGCATCCACTTGCATCCCTCTCAGCTTGTCCCCCAGGAGAGCAGGCTGGATTGTGTTGAACACACTGGAGAAGCCGAAGAGCAAGACTCTCACAGTGCTGGCTGACTTGTCTAGGTGGGCATAGACTCGGTTCAGCAGAAAGATGATGGTGTCCTCTACTCCTAGGCGAGGCTGATATACAAAATGAAGGGGGTCAAGGAGTGGCTGGACTATGGGGCGGAGCTGTTCCAAGATGAGCCTCTCCATGGTGTTCATAATGTGGTATGTCAGAGCCAATGACCTGTAGTCCTCATTGTCCTTGGGTCGTGATGTTTTTGGTWCCGGAACAATGCAGGACGTTTTCCACATCACTGGGACTCTCTGGAGACTCGGATTCATATTGAAGATGTGTTGCATTACTCCACAAAACTGGGTGGAACAGTCCTTAAGCACCCTGGGTAGGACACCATCAGAGCCAGGAGACTTGTTAGTGTGGACTTTCTGCAACTGACTTCTCACCTGGTCGGCAATCACGCTTACTGTAGAGGAGATGGGTGGAGGAGGGGTGGAGGACGTGCTAGGTGGGCTGCTCCCAGGAGGAAACAGGTTTTCAGGGATTGGTGGGGAAGTGCTCTGGTAATGGGGTACTGCTGCTTCAGCTGGTGTGGGGAAAAGGGGGGGGGGCATTGTGGTTTCATCATCTGGTAGTTTGACTTTTTTTTGTCACAGCATTGTTTGTTGTTGCGTAACCATGGGCGGACAGTTTGTCCAAAACCTCCTTGGATATCTGCTGATTTCAGACGGCTCTGTCCAGCTCAAACTGTATGTGCTCACCTCCTTCACCTCTCTCCAGGAAGAGTTTGCAGGAAGAGTTTGCAAGTTTTGCCTTGGCTCAGCTGATCCACCGGCAGAAGTCTTCTGAGGTCAAATCATGTGTGCAATACAGTGTCACATGCTTAGAACCACCTCAGAGGTGGTTCTGAAAGTGGTTGAAACCAGAAAAGAAGACATATTTGGCTGAGGCCGAACCGAGGAGAACAGCATACAGGCACCTCTGTGGAGAGGGGGATTTTTTAAAGACCTCCTCGGGCCACTGCCTGGTTCTGAGTGTTTCTAACCTTGTGTCCTTCATTGGAGGGACTCAAGTTTGAAAAACCTCAGTAGATTTCATTGTCCTAAACTGTAAAATTAATTTTACATTTTTTTCTTCAAATGAGACTTATGTTATTTAAGAAATTATCTTTCTTTTAAGTAAAATAAAATCAAGACATTTATCCCTGAGTGTGTGGATGTGTGTTTTATTTTTTTGTGTTTCCCTGCGTTTCCACCCTTCAGTTATCCTCAGTCTGTTTTCTAGTCAATTATCAGTTAATCATCCTCACCTGCTCTGTCATCCCCAATCAGTCCTGCCACCAGGTGTTCTTCATTTCCTCATTCCCTCTGTTTGTATATATACTGGTCTTTTACTCCACACCCTCACTGGCTCACTGTTTGGTTTCACCCAACTGTTATGTTTCGCCCTCTCTTGTTCTTGTTCTTGTTCTTGTTCTTGTTCTTGTTCTTGTTCTTGTTCTTGTTCTTGTTCTTGTTCTTGTTCTTGTTCTTGTTCTTGTTCTTGAGTTTTTTGCTGCCTCGACAGCTTTTTGTTTTGTTTTTGTAAAATAAATATTTTTCCTTACTAAAACTCCTACCTTCACCTGGATTTGGGTTCTTCTCCTAGCCAAAACTTAACACTGAGGCGTCAACAGTTTAAATAAATAAAAAAATAATTTACCTTCTGGATTCAAACTCATTTTCACTGAGGGCCACATGAGCGTTATTGTGGCCCTCGAAGGGTCGCTTGTAATGAACTTTGACGTTTCATGTTTAACTTTGACTAAACAGTGTTTTAACATGTCCTCTTTTAAACACTGATAAGAACTAAGTACGACTAACTAAATCTGAAATAAATACAGAATTATTATTAAAAATAAAGGCAGATTTAGTTTATGGTTGATGGTGACTTTAAAGCAGCTTATTTTCAGACATTAATACTGAGCTATCCAACTAAATTGCTCAGTTACTTAAAGCCAACAGCTCAGGGACAGGAACTGATTAAATTTATTTTTATTAAATTTATTTTTATTAAATTTATTTTGTTACATTTAATCATATATTTAAAGTTTACCATTGATAAAAGAAACAATTTTCATGTTAAGTAACAAAAAAAAAAAGYCCCCCCCCCCAACCGGCGGGCCACATGAGAGTCACGAGAGGCCTTGTGTTTGACACGTGTTCTAGAATAACAACTCTTCTCTTTACTCCATGAAGGCTTGAACTTCAGCTTGACGGCCAACTACAAAGGGCTCAACACCACCATGTACAACAGGCAGGGCTGTGCGAGCAGCACCTGTGAAGGYGTGGCCATCCTCAAGATGTTACATGTGAGTCGACTCAAATGTGTTTAAAATTTAAAAAAAGAATTGTTGGCATATTAAAATTAAATCAGAACTATCAGGAATGACCTCATAAGCTATTTTTCATGTGAGACCACTCCATATAATATTTGCAAGTGACTTTTATCAGCAACAAATCAAAATCATTTTGAGGTTTTAGTTATTATTTTTTTTAATTCTTGTGCATCAAATAGTGCCATTGACCTCATTACCTTACAGCTGGTACATTGCATTTCTTCGAATGAACTCAGTTTGAAAAAAAAATTGTCAATTATAAATATCAAGGGTGGTAATAAAAAAATCTAATTTTACTCTAGTCTGGTCTAGACTTGAGCCCTGATGGGGATGTGAAACAGTCTGAATGGTCCATTCTTTAACAAATTTCTGTAATTTTGACTGTAAGTCTAACGTCTTTTTGCAGAGCATTGATGAAGTTGGATGYGTCATGTTGGGACCTTCCTGCACGTATGCCACCTTCCAGTTAGTGGAGTAAGTATAAGTTTATTTCTCATCAAATAGGACTTTCAGCCTCCTGAGTTTTGAATTTTCCTACATTTTCTCTCATACAGTGAAGTGATTGGCTTGACCCTCAGCATTCCCATCATCTCCGCTGGGAGCTTCGGCCTCTCRTGTGACTATAAACCCAAACTGACTCGTCTTTTGCCTCCAGCTCGAAAAGTCTCGGACTTATTTCTGACCTTCAAGGATGAAGTTTTGCCCTTTAAGCAAGCTTGGAGAAAGTTTTACATCTACAAGAAGGCAAACAATGCAAGCGAGGACTGCTTCTGGTGAGCTCAGAACTAATAAATCTGAGTAAGCTCTGTGCTTTTATTCCAAGCTCTCTGTCACCATCAGCTTTTTGCTTTTCACCACAGGTACATCAATGCATTCGAAGCACCTTCTGCCAGATTCGCTTCACAAACACAAAGGGAGATGCTACGTGGTGAATCTGACTTGTCGCAGGCTCTGGTGGCTTCAGATAGACACAGCAACAGTGGGTTTATGACATTTTTTTAATTTGAACTATTGGAGAAATTGGTTAGAACGTTTTCCCCCTTCTGTAAGGCTATAGTCACACTAGATAACAGTCCTGATGGATTTTCTTTGTACACTCTTACTGGGTTCTTAAATGGCCTATTAAGAATGCAGTGGAGTGTCCACAATGGTTTTGGATGTGCATAAAACTTCCATAGTGAGGTTGTGTTGGCTTGTCATTGTGGTGTTAGYGTCTTGAGTCCATTGCGTGTCCTGATGCTTTCTCAATAGTCCACATCCATATACTAAGGTTAAGTTCCTCTGGATTGGTTCTTTGTTGAACTGTTTCATCTTTTAGGGYTYATGGTGCTCCTTYTGCATGTGAACAAAGCCAAAAGTGAAAGAAAAACRAAAGACAAGAACCAAACTTTTCAAAAAACAGAGCTAATACAACTAGCCAATCAGTGTTTATGCTTAGAAACGCCTACTTMTGCTTCAGAATGCCTGCTCTTCAGATACGACTCTGCAGAGACCCCTACATGGATTGCCAAGCTTTTGCACAACTTGGAAGAGGCAATTTAGCCACTGAATCAGGTGTAAAGGCATAACAAGAAACCCATGATGAATTGGTTTGAGAGAGGAKTAAAGGAAGTCATTATGAAGGAGCAATAACAGAAGTCTAGTTTAACAGACCCTCCTTTGAAGCTAAACTGCAGTCTCTGGCAACCAGGTCTTGAAACAAATCAAACAGGTTAGCATCTTCACTTCCCTTGAGAAGCCCGACAACATGTGTGTTGCATTRTCGCCTCCAGTTTACTGTCAACCTCTGAAAGCCAGGTGGTGTGAATCTTTGCAGTATCTTCAGAGTTTGAGGTACGGCCCTCAGCTTTTGAAACCCTTTCATCCTGCATAGATGGGCAGACCTTGAGCTTCTCCAGCACTGGGTCAATCTTTCTGTCAAATGAGTCCTCCACACCTTTGAGCACTTMAGCAGTTATTCTCTCTATTAATCTGTCTGCATCAGCTTAACTCAGCAATGGCCGGAAGGTCATGGCTTGTGAGGGCTGATTAACTACTAGTTTAGTGGACTTCACCGTAAGGTTGAGCTTTTTATGAATACTAGGAATTCTCTTACTTATAGACTACTACATTGGCTTCCAATGACCACTCTTTTTCTGTTCAAAAAGAGATTTAAATGATACTCAGCTGCAGGTGCCCAGACGACTAGCTGCTACTCTGCCATTTGCATCACATGACTTTGCAGTGAACATTTTTAAGAAAACCTTTAACATTCATGTCAATTGGCTTCACACTGAACAAGCAAGAACATTTGCCAGAAGTCGTCCCTACTATATTTAATCAAAAAATTAAGGCAGATGAAGAGGTCATGAATATCTGAATCTACATCTGRCAATGATTCTTCTGGTATGATTGTATCTCTGTTATATCCACAACATATTCTGGCATTCCTACGAGTTATACCAATCCTTCTGATTCCATTTCCTTGATAAATAAAGTGACCATAACCCTGCTTKTCATCCTATTGTTGCTCTATCACAGCTTACTGTGGCACCAATAACATCATCAATCAAGGGCTGTAACTCGTGGTTTATACCCTTAATAGAGTCCAGAGGACCTATACAATTTTTTTTCCTTTGATTTTTTACCTGGATTACTGAGATGCATCAGGACATTAATAGAGTGTTGTTTTTAACTTCATCTCTGATGTCATCTCTGAAGCACTGTGAAATTAAAAAAATGTCAATGAGTAAGAACCAAGCCCTTTTCTCACTCACAGTTCAGGAATTATTTCAATAGACCTCATAGATTTTTTTTAATTTTTATGCAGCAGCCGGTTGTTTGAACTAAACTTTTCAGGTGTTTGGTCATTTTGAAAGTGAGGTGCTATKCAGCTGCTCTGACCCTCTCTGTAACAACGTCACAATCTGGCCTTCTGATTGGCTGAAGCTGTTTCCACTCTTATTGGGTAGAATGGCTTCTTGGTGTAACATTCAACATGGTACCCAGATAGCTCAGCAGTTTTGAGACATGTGAAGCTGAAATATGGTGGAGTGAGAGCTGAGAGCTAATCCAACACATTCTGAATGCTAATCTCAARTTTAAGCTAACCACTAATGCTAACATTAAATAAGGCTATAATTAAGCTATTTTTAGACATACCAAGCTGCAAACTGGTACAATAATACCAGAGATCAAGCTTCAACAAATTCTGAATGCTAAATTAAAATTCAAGATGGCCACCAGAGCTAATTTGAAACTGCAATAACTCAACCATTTTAAAACAAATTAAGATGAATTTGGTGTGGTGGTACAAGTAAAGATCATGTAATGAGTCCAAATCAAAATGCAAGATGGCTGCCATAGCATAACAAAAGAACTCACCATAACGCAGCCATTTTTAGCCATTTCCTAGATGAAATTTGGTATGGTGGTTGATGACAGTGATCTCCAACAAGCCCTTTAATAGTTTCTCCATGAACTAATCTAGTYTGAAGTTACTCTTCGGCAGACATCAGCACTACGTCAATGTATMACTTAATTCAAATTCCTATTATCTTTCTAGTTTTCATCTTGTGTGGAGGTGTCAGTGATATTGTGTCAATAAAAGAGAAGGTGCAGCAGATTCAACCAGACACCTTGTTTATTCTCCTTGACCTTTACAAGTAAGTCAAACACATTGCCACCGTTTTGTCTTCACATTAAAATCACAAAGCCTCTTTTTAATTAAACAGGAGCTATTTGGAAGATTGTAAAGTATCATATTTTAAGTGGTTTCAACTTTTTTTTAAAATCTAGCCCAGCGTATTATGTCAACTCCACTTCCGCCCGGGGGATGGAGAACGTTCTGGTGGTCACTCTACCACGGAGGAACTACACTGAGGGGTCAAACTCTTCATACAACGAAACGGTGAGCTTTGAACACAAGAGACATGGTAGGTTTGTAAACAGAAATAAAACTTTTATTTTTCGATGCAATAAGCAGATGAATGACTACGTGGCTGGGTATCATGATGGCACTCTGCTGTTTGGTAAAGTTCTCAGAGAGAGGATGCTCAGCCAGCAACGCAGCGAAGGAACAGATGTGCCTCCGAGTGACAACCCATTTGGAAACACATCTTTTGATGGTGAGTGTGAGCAGCAAAGTGGGAAACTAAAGTCTTAAAATGATTTGTTAAACACTTCTTAAGAACCATATGAGATCACAAGACAATTTTATTATACCATAATCTTGCAATAATAGTGGCATAAATAAATAATTATATGTCGACACAAACTGACTGAAATTGAGTAAAATATTCACTGGAAAATGAAAAATCATTCAGTGTCTGTTCACATGTAAAGTTGTGTGTGTGTGTGTGTTTGTGTTTGTGTTTGATCTGAGCAGGGATGGGAGGCCACTATGAGCTCGATGAGTACGGCGACAGAGACGTTAACTTCTCCTTCATCTACACATCAACTGAGACCGGCAATGTGAGACTAATGTCTATTGAATAAAACCAATATAAAAATGAACAATGTTTTTAAAGCATTGTGTCTGTTTTTCTACAGTATGAAACTCTCTTACTGTTTGATACATCTCAAAATAAAACCATATGGTTTGAAACAAACCCTGCCCTGTTTTGGAAATATCAGCTTCCTGATGATGAACCAGTAAAACCRAAAGGTAAGACATGTTCAATTTGAATTGTGTGGGGTTAAAGTCACAAGACAGGCCAGAACTGGAGCGCCATGGCGAGGGCTGAAGTCAACCTACCACTGTTACACCTCTGAGCCTCCAATTATGCAGTCATARAACTGAAACAATCAGTATGTGTGTCATGACTCAAAGGTTTGATGTAGTGATAATCTGTCACCAGCTGATCTGAGGTTTTTGAATCAGAGGTGTGAGACACATTAACATTGCTGGGTGAAACATTTACATTTACAAACACTCTCATTGTTGCAAAACTTGTATTGCTACGTTCACACCGAACGTGTTTTGAGTGGCAGGAGCAGCCGATTCACATGCAAAGTCTATAGGAGGACGTGCCTCTGGGGGTCGTGCGTCGCATCACGTACGTTTTGGGCGGTGTGCAAGGAAGGCGGAAGGGGCGCAGAGCGTTTTCCGCGCATACGGTGCTGCGGAAGCCGCCACCGCCAGAGTTCAAATATCTGAACTTTTCGCTGCTCGACGCGTCTCCCACTGAAAACTGAAACAGACGGACTGGAGATTTTTTACCTGAAATCGACAGTGTGCAGTTGGATTTTCTGGCAGGATATGTCAGCACCGATGTGGATCAGCTGCTCGGGACCAAAAAATAAAAAATAAAAATAAAAAAATCCGTCAGCTGGCAGCTTCTAGAGTGATGAAACTAACCAAACAAAATCGCCTCTAAATCATCTGGTGAGTTAATTATCTGCTGTGCGCAACGTTCGCTTGCTTTTTAGTAAATAAATCAAAGCCATTTTCTTTTATTTTATCTTTATTTCACGCGCCGAGGACACGCTCCTCCCACACCTCGCTGCTGCCGCTTGTTCTGGTCTGAGCACTGGTGTGTTCTTCGGTCTGAAAATAATGCGTCCAACGAGAGACGTTTTGCGCTTTTTGGCCGCTCAAAACGCGTTCGTTGTGAACGTAGCATAAACACTTGCTGCTACAAAGCTCCCCCTCTTTACACAAAGCTCCTCCCTGGAGCTCAGTCTGCAGCCGAGCTCCCATTCCACACAGCACCCCTCCCCTGAAGCGTTGTTGTGAAGATGTGCTGTAGTGGGAGTGTCAGAAACGGTAGGAGTGACAAAGGCCAATTTCAAGGCGCTTAGATAGACTATGATGCAAAATCAAGTTTATTTCTGAGATATACAGCATATTCATGAAACTTGGTTGTAGTAAAGAACTGAAGTATGTGCCTGGAAAATACATAATACTGCCCCTTTTAAGAGATGCTGCAGGAATATAAAGTAAAACAAAATATATATAGAACCAATATTTATGGCTTTATAAATTGGTGTATTTGAACTTTTAAATTATGCTTTTTCATGTGTACTTCCAGATATAAATACACAAGATATAATTGTTATCGTGTTGGGTGTCAGCGTTGTCGTGGTAACAGCCATAGCTCTCATCTTCTACAGGTAAAGATTAAATATATTTCACAGATGCATCCCCACAACACTACCATTTTATTATCACTGACCGCCTAAAAACAAGAAACAAAATGTGGTTTTAATTCAAATTGAAGGATCTAAATGAGATAAAGTTAAAGC